CTCATCTCTGTCTGACGTGCCGGTAGCGACATTTCGAGTGACCAGGGAACTCATACGTGTGCCGCCATACTCGCAGGTGCAACTGCAAAAACAGATCGTTTTGATATAGTACACGTATTCATTTGAGGTGGTCATTGAGTACCGGAAAAGAACCCGATCTCGCGTTTACAGTATCAAAAGAATAATTATAATTTTTTTTTTCGATCATCTCCAAATACATGACAAATGTATACTACAAATCAAATTTACTTTGTAGAAGATCATGCAAATGTTCAAAATCTAGTATTCTCTGGTAGAATAAATTTAAAACGCAAATTCGGGTACTCATCAATTTAGAAATAGTAATCACCTCTCAGTATCGTGTTCGCTAAAAATCCCAAACCATGCGCCATGAGCCCCGCTACGTCTGCACCTGCGAGCGCAGCGTGTGTCACATGCGCACCCCCGTTTTCCTCTCCCACAAGGAGCGGAGACCGACGACGGTGGTGTGCTCGGTTGCGGTGGTTGGTAAGTGGAACGTAATTCAAGAGAACCAAAATCGGTGACGTAATTGACACGAACGCTAATAAACAAGAAAAAGAAGACCTCCTGGAGTGTCGCCGACCAGGCGTCGCACTTTCGAGAGAGGGCCGACTATGTCGCGTTCTGCACCCGCCCGCTTCACAGTTCTAGGTTTCTTAGCCGCGCAAAGATTATTTGCTCTGTGGCGTTAACGGGTAGAAGTCGATGAGGTGACTCAACGATGTCAAAATCGGGGGCTATGATCCGACGCACATCAACGACTCGTGCGTACTACTGCTGTTTCCGGTGCTAACGCACGCGCTGCCCATGTTGCTACTGCCGCAACTGCCGCTGGCCGGCGCTAGGTGTTGTTGTTGCTGTTGGTGATGTTGCTGTTGATGCTGCTGGTGTTGCTGTTCCTGTGCCGTCGTACTCCTAAGGATGTCATCCGCGGACAGGGGTGTCAGCTTCCATCCAGGCATGAAGTCTAAGTCTAAGTCTGGACCAATATCCACGTCTAGTAGCTCGTTGTTGTTCAGTGGATCGAGGGGCGACTGACTCGACAGAGACAGCACGCTACCCCAGTTAATCGAACGGCTATCATCGCTGTCGCCGATGCCAGAGTCGACGTCGGTCTCGTTTGAGGACGTCGGCGGCATCGGGAACGGCGTTAGCCTGCCCTGCTCAGGAGGTTGCAGTTGAGCGATCGGCGCCGGTATCACCGGCTCCATCGGCGGCGGACTTCTGTCCCTCTCCATTTCTCGTTCCAGGTGCCTGAGCGTGTTGCAGATCAGTACTGACCGATGAAGGCTCGGATCTGGGAATTGACGATACCTCGCCAATTTACACATCGAGATGTTTAGGACGGCTAGCCGCCTCTGCCTGTAACAGGCTCTACCACGCCGACACCAACTCGACCTCGAGCCTTCGCAGCACCTCTCGTTCGCCCGGTAACTCGAGCCAAGCTCCAGATAACTCTTGCCATTCTCCTCTCGTCGTATCGTCGGCGGCTCGTAATGGTGAGGTGTTCCCCATTGCGGTTGGGGCCTCGACAGTTGGCTGTAACCGTTATTACCGACCGGACTGCTAGATCCTCGTTGATGGTGGTAATAATGCTGAGGATGATGATGCAGGTGCGCTACCGTGGATGACGGTGGCGCTGATGTTGGTGTCGATGTATGTTGTTGTTGCTGTTGTTGTTGCTGCTGCTGCTGTTGCTGCTGCTGTGACGTCTGATGCTGCTGCTGTTGCTGCTGTTGTTGCTGCTGCTGACTCGCCGATGTCGGTTGACAAGGATTTATCTGCAGGCAAGGCGGACTCACTTCCATTTCGTAGTATGACGCCGGTGTTTGGCTCAGCGGGGGCGTGTAACTATCCTCCATCGCCCACCAGCTACCCTCCACCCGGCCTAACTTCGACGGGCTTTCACCCATGTCCATGTCGAACTCCATGCAGCCCACACCTCCCTCCAGTTTACGTTTTCCTGCCGTGGCCTGCAGACCCATCATTGCACAACTCTGAAAGTAAATAAAATCCATTATTGAATAGTCGGATTGCGCAGAGGTATGGCGTGACTATTAAATATAAGAGTATGAAATAAATACATCGCGTGTATATTTTATGTGTTCGGTTCAGTAATGCAATGAAAATTTCCGCGAAGAAAGCGGTGTACCTTTATAAATGTCAGGATGGAAAATTAAGTCGAAATGACGCTCCAGCGGAGCGCCATTTTGTGACGAGTTCAAATAAATCTTTGTCATTTGTACAAATGAGAAATATTGGAAACGATAAGCTAGGAGGTTCTTCCCGTAGACGATTCAACGGCATGACCACGAAAGACCTTGCAGAATCTCGATACTCTGTTACGAGCAAGAGAGTAGGCAAAACGACATGACTCAGAGGGTCGGCTCGCTGACAGACGTTGGAGAATGACGTCAGACGTCTCCCTACCCCGGCCTGAAAGAAGTCATCGTTGGAATGGATGATCGAGTGGGCTCGGAAGAGAGAGAGAGAGGGAGAGATAAAGAGAGGGTGACAAAGAGAAGGGGACAGGGGAGCACAAATGGTGAATGGGTGGGGGCAGAGGAGTGTTGTTACTCATTGGTTCAATCAACAAGCATGCGGGACCCTTGTGAAATGCTCTTCTTCATTTTCCTCCCGGCCCTTCTTTTTATTCCGCCCACTTATTCTTTTTTCAAGATATAAGTAAAAAGTTCGAATTAAATTGTATATATTTACAAAATTATGCACAGGAGTTTTCGATTGAACAAAAATAAATCGTTGAATTTTTATGTTCTTAAATATCAAATGATTTCCTTCGATTAAATTATTAGAAGAAAATAGAATTAATGACTCCACAAAGAGTCATTTGCCATTTTTAAAACGGAAACCGTCTAAATCTTCCAACTGTGGTAGTCCCGTCGTTGGCATGCAAGTCAGTTAAAACGTAATCAATCCATTATGTGTAATCCGAAACAAATGGTAGCGCACGTGGGCATCAATGATTTATGTCCGTGCGAGTACGATTCAGCGACCGTACGAGTGAAAGTAAGTAAATAATCGTTCCTCCCTCCAACCTTGCTCGCTCGACCGAGCCAGCAAAGAGGGAAAAGAGAAAGAAAGAGGATGCATACATGCGGGGAAAATTCGAGAGGTAAAAAAAAATCGTGATCCCATTTGAGAACCGCTGACCAACGCAGATGGTTGCGCAAATTACCGCGAGATGTCACCGCCGACATGTTCATCGTTCGACCCGTCCACGTGGTCTGCGTATGACGTTTGATTTCACGAAAAAAAGTGTAAAAATAGAGACGGTACGAGTCTACGAGGAGCGACATCGCGGCAGGGTGTTGCGCGTGCAGTAGCTTGACGTAATTTAACATTTTAATCGATGCGTCTATGTTTTTCCGTTAACACAGCGAAGTCAAAGAGCGACATGCGCTCTACTGACGAGAACGACGAGAAAGAGAGGGGAAAAAAGTTCTGAGGAAACGAGCAATGCCATCGGAGACGATGATACCGCGTGTTCACGATACGCGCGTGGCAAAACAAGCCAGAGGTTTGGTCACGCGATTCCGGCTCGCGCGAACATTATCTAAAAAGAATATGCATATATATCTAAATTTCTGAAAAATAAAATTCAGAAAAAAAAGAAAAAGATAACACGATTGCTCTTGTTTGTTTTGATCATATTGCATGTACAAAGCATGAATGCTTCTTATTGAACGTATACATTTTTCGCCGTGACTACTAGCCACGGCGGTAGCAGAAGCAACAGCCAACGTTTCAATCTCAACTCGACGGTGCACATCCGCCGTGGTGGCCTACTTGGAATACGACTCGTTCGCGAAGGTTCTCCTTCCAACAGGGTCGACCAGTCCCGGAGCTCTCCGAGAGACGATTCGCAGAATCGTGGGGAAAACAATGACAGATCGTATCCGCGAGCTTCGGTTTGCCTTCCACGATGGTGAAAACGTGCTTTTCTTTGGATCTGACACTTCATCTGCATTGTTCCAAATTTCCCGATACAACGTTTTAATTTTATTCAAAAAATAGTTAAACACATTTTATTATAATGTTTAAACATATTTATCTCGTGTTAATCGATAGATATGGTTGAATTTATCATCGACATCCAAAATTAGAACCCAGTTTTCGAGCTTCCAAAAACTGTTTTATCCACTCAAATAGTCTTCGCGTTGTTAACAGTTCTCTCCCACCCCTCTCCCAAAGCGTACTCGTAAAATAATTACTCGCGTATGTATACATGCCTATAGATGAAGACTTCAGCTAATGCGCTTGAGAATCCGCCGCTCGTCCTCGCCGGCGATGTTTGCGAAACATGGCCCGGGCACTTGTTGAATCGAGACGGCCACCGGGTGGTTGCTGCAGGGGGTTACTACGTATGGGATTTTCTGCGTGTGGCAGAAATGCACGACTCTTAACTGCCCATAAATCAAAGTCAAGAAACACACCCGCCCCGGTCTTTCTCTCACTATCTTTTTCCCTCCTTTTCTATTGCTCTCGTGAAATTTTTCAGGGGTTGCGGTTTACACGGTTCGCACTCCCTCAGACCAAGAATCTTTTGAGCCTCACCTCAAACCTGAATCGCTGCGCTGATTCAAAGGGTACCAACCGTGGAAAGGCTGGCTTTTGTTCGTCCTCTTCGACTTAAATGGCAAAGACTTTTTCCACTGTTCGTTGTTTGAAGCAAGTCGATTGCAACAATTACAATGCTACTGTGCTTTTGAATATACAGCCTTCTGAATTTTAATATCTTGATTTGAAAACACAAAACAAACACAACGTATTATTTAAGTCTTCTAATTTAGATTTTTATTGAAAACATTTCACTGAAAATTTCTAAAGTAATGTATCTAAGGATTCTGTTGTCGCTGTTGAGACAACAAAGTTTTTTTCTAAAAATTGAACGCTGCATAACAATTACTTAAAAAAATAATTAATTAAGAAAAAGGTTTGCATTAATTACAGAAAATGTTTCATTAAAATGTGTTGCGTTTTAACGTTTTAAATTTAATATTTATAATTTTTACTATTTAGTTTTATATTGTACGTGTTACTGACAGTAAATGCAGAGCTACGACAAGACTGTTTAGTAGCATCTAAAACAAACGCACAATAAACGTACCATTGTATTGGCGAAATGCACAAGAAATTTCGTGGCAGAATTTCTATAAACAAGTTCGCCCTAATTCCTAGTTTATCGTCAGGAATGTGGGTCAATGGAATGAACGTGAGAGAAGTACTAGAACTAGAAAAGATTCATGACGACTGCGCCCGCAATAAGATAATGTTCACCGCATGAAGCCTATCTACACGAGTTGCACTATACGCGCGAGAAGATTAACCAAGTCAACTTTTGCGTCATCCTTCATGAAACCGAGAAGAATCGTATCTAGTATAAAAAGAACTTGAAATGTAAGGTTCGAAGGATAAACGGACCAAATAAAAAAAAAAGAATAGTATAAAACTGAGTAATTGTTACAAAGAAGATTATTTTTAATTGTGATATTCACACATATAACATTTAGTCAAATAAAAGTGTCTTTCAGTAACCCTTAGAAAAAAGCAAAATTTTTGTATACGTTCAAATGTGTTCAAATCCTACGCGCACAATAGGGAGAGCGTAGAATGTGAGAAAAGAACGAACGAAAAGTAGAGAAGGTTTGCGGTGGATCCGGCTATGCCTGACGATGAGGTAATGTTTGCTACACGAGTCAAAGCTATCTAGCCAGCCAAAGAACGAACACACATGAATCCGTGCTCGAGCCAGTTGGAGCCCCGTAGATAAAACCGGCGAGTGTATGGCGCCGTACATTCCTAAGTTATATGCGTATACGCTAAGCATGCGCGAACACACTCATACACGCTATACCGAAACATCGGATATTTAAACGTAACTTTTAATTTTTTAAAAGCCCCCTAACAATTTCCATTATCCATATAAATTCTATGTATACTCGCAAAAAGAGGAACTTCATAAAAATATTAAATTCTTGGGAGGTTAATTTCATAACTCGGTCACACCAACGGTGTGAGAGAAAAAACATTGGAAAAAATGTAAAAAAAAAGAAGATAACGATACAAGGAAAGTTGAAGTCGGAAATAATTTAATATTGCCGCCTCTGAGCTCGGTTCCTAAAAGCATCGATATATTTGGACGGAACCGTGAAGACCATTGGCGGCGTCCTCCTCATCACTAAACCCACGGAATCTGAGTTCCCGTAGAATTCGCAATTGTGCGCCGCGTGAAATGTGAACGAGTCGTATCGGCGCGAATTTTCTGCGCTGCTCGCCACCGCAAGAACGACATCGAGGCGACGTTGATGCCGGCGGTTGGCAGTCATGACAACGTGACGTCAACCGGCCGTGTGTTATTTTCGAAAGGGGACTCTAGCGATGCGCCGCCTGCCGGCGAGATCGTCAACTGCAAAAAACAGCTCGACAACGGCGTCGCGCGCGACGCTATCGGGTCAAGAAACAACGACGCACGATACAAGCCGCTTGCGGTAAGATTATCGAGCGTAAGTCGCTGGGAATATTTAACTACAAATGCGAGATCAGTTAGCGACGATCAGAAGACAAAAATGCCTTGAACACCAATTATTTCGCGAACGCGGTTATTAAATGCAATTACAAATATATACCAATTAGTACACAAAATGGCTTCTAAATATTGCTTATCTTTTATTGAATTGATTATGAATAATGCATTCATAGTACTCGTATAATACTTGTCACGTTTGATCTCTACGAAAAAAACCGTTTCACTTTCAGCTCTTTATTGCTGTTTCAAAAGTCGACTCTTTTATTTGCTTGTGTGAGACTATTTTGGGAACTGACCGTTAATCAACTATCAATTGTACAATGGCACAATTTCTGTTTTACAGAACGATGTTAATCTAGAATTTTGGTCCACGAAATTTCTTTAAAAGTGACTTTGGGTTTCGCGCTTACAATCCTGGAAGCTGGCTGAGCGTTGGCTTTAACAGTGTAA